ACGTCGAGTAGAAAGTTGACGATCAAAATGAATATTTTTGAACTCAGACATCATGAACTCGTCATCAATAGAAAATACTTCATCTTCAAGAATTGCTTCATTCTCAAATATTAATCTATCATTAAATTGTGCCTGTTTTTCATTGAGCATACTTTTTCCTCCATAACTTAAAATTGCATTTCTTGGTACCTTTTTCCTCTGCAGTGACATGATTTTATTACTTGAAGTTTTGTTTTTAAAGTTGTGGATGTCTGTTGTTTCTTTTCATCCACAAGAGTCCAAGGGCAGAGGAATAATCTCCAAGCATCTAGTCTTGAGTCACTGCTCAGGATAACAAAAAAGAAGAATATAAAGAATCCTTAAAAAGCATTAAAGAAAGCAAAAAAGAACTGAACTATGAATGAGAGGCTATAGGCTCAGTAATGAATGTGAAGACAGCAGATAGCCACGTGAGACCAAACAGCATTAAAATACCAGAAAAAGATAGTATCAATTTTACTGCTTCAGATGTGGTGAGGTGAGACTTACTCATTCTCTTGTTCCTACGAATAGTGTGGAGAATAAGAACACGAATAATGATGACATATTAAAGATACGTATTACGAAGACTGGAAGTAGAAGAGCAACAAGAAAAGGGATCATGTCAGTAATAAAACAACTATTAAACAAAAGTGAGATAAGTGATAGTGAGATACCAACTAAATATTTCCATGTTATGTCTGTGAATACAATGACTAGTTTTTGAAACATAAGTAAAGGCGCCTCCAGCTAACATCCACATCCAAGCAACAAGGGCAAAGTAATGCATGAGAACACCAACTGTTATACAACCAGCTCTCACCGATACTCTATCAATACTACTGACAAAAACTGCTAGCATGAAAATTAATGAGAGGCGAAGTTGAATGTGAAATTTGCTAGCTTCTCTTGTTCTTAGTTTCCTATTACAAAAAAGCATTTATAATTTTAAAAATATAGTAATTGCATGCTCATTTGAATATAATTAAAGTGATAATTGTTAGTACTATCTAGTCCCGGCCACACCAACAATTGACACAACTTCTAGTGTAACAGTGAAATATTGAGGGGGCTGGGTAGGTTCATTAACTCTAGCAGATACATCCTATAAAAAGACATTACCACTGATACTACTACTTATACATATACACCACAATCCAGTACATAAGCACTGTAAGTACAAAATAGTATCTCTGATATCCTCATCAGTCATCACTGCTTCTCTGGTGTGCCACGTTTTTGCACGTGGTCAGTAATAGAGGGTGAGGTCTAGTTGATAAATAACTTGTTCATCTGTCGTTGTTTTGTTTAAAGCTCGGTTTAGAAGAAGAGGAATGTCTGGAAAAGGTTAGCTTATCTCTCCCTACTATCTTCCCTCCACCTCTGTCTTCATGCTCTCTCTTTCTATTTATTCTTCTGTAGTCATTGTCTTCATTTCTATTACGGTATTATTCATTTACTACAGGTTTCAAAATGAGAGCTGAACACAAAGCTCCTGTAATAGGGGAGTCCCTCTACTTGTGGGCAGGCAACCAGGTTGACTTACCTAAAGTTCATGACTCCCTTCAAAAGAGGGAATTGACCTCAACAGTTGATGTCTACCAGCTTTCTACTGCTGACTGGTCCTCTCACCTAACAAGAGGTACTCCTCCATTAGGAGTAATTGGCTACTCCTGCACCACCTCTCATTCCAATATTTACTATTTCGGCGGAGCTTGTGGTCATGATGTCTGTTACCACAATATGTTAAATGTACTGAATACGATAAAGATGCAGTGGACTTCATGCAGTAATGCTGAACAGTTGTTGATGAAGAAAGCCTATGCTGGAATGATATCACTGGAATTTGATGGATCAGAATACCTTTTCATATTAGGAGGGTATGGTTCTATACCAACTGTTTACCATCCTCAGTTTCAGTATGATCAACTTAACGATGGTGATGTTCGTACTAATGAACAGTTACTTTACGATGTGTCCACTGGTAAGATCCTCTTCACATTAAAAAGCTTTATAGATTTACATGTATACATTATATTGATTTAATATTAATTAGTGCACAATTGTGTAAAATTACGTGTACATGTACTTTGAATTCATAATTACATGTACATGTATCTATTAATTATATTAATGTAATAATTATACTTTATATTGTTAACATGTATTGGTAGATGATCACTGTATTCTCTTCAATTTAGGACAATTCACTGTTCCCTCTGTTAGTGGACAGTGTTGTCCACCAACTGATTCTTTCATAATTGAGAAGATTACTACCACTGGTAACAGAGGAGTAATGTTTGGAGGTTCAGTGACTCATAATGGTGACGAGAGTACAGCTACTAACAATGTTTACATATTCAGTGTGACACATAGTATAATAGTGAGTTGAATTGTATTTTGTTGTATTGTATTGTACAGTAATACATTATCTCAGAATTAACTAGAAGTGTACTCATACTAACTGTATTTTGTATTAAAATTTAATATTCACACTGAAATCTCTGATACTAGAGTAAACTATCAATAATTGGATGCCACCAATTTTTGGACACTTGTTTTAGGAAACTATACTTTGCCATGTCATGAAACTGGAAAGTATTACAGCAATAGTTGTCCTTTATTTGTGTGACAAAAATTGTAGCTCCAGCAAAAGTGCATCAAAAGTTATTAGCTATCAAAGCATGATGGTGTCCGACAATACCGATAATTGTCCAAATTCCTCAGTCTTTGGACAGCTATTTCAGAACAGCAGGAAAGAATAGTCATAGAAAGTCACTATGATAACTTTGTAGGCCTGTCCTTAAACTAATTTTTCACCAGCCAGATCTTTTTGATAGCTGTCTTTTTGACAGAGATAATGGCAACTTAAATGTATCACCTGATTCCTCAATATATGTACAAATTTTTACAAAAATATGAGTTTTCTTCGTAAAACTCCATAAAATCATATTTTGTCCATATATTGAGGGATCAGTTGATAGGTGATCACGAGTTTGTATGCATACAAAATAGACATATATATACTTGTCTTGTTTAATACTCAGGCTTACCCCAATTATGATTAATTACATACATGCTACACCCATTATTTGTATAGCCACACCCATTGTTTATATTTACGTTGACTGATATTATTAGTACTTAATTTTTTTATGTATCTAGAACTGGGAGATACTGAAACCAGGAGCAATACCTAATAATGGACTGTGGCCTATGGAGAGAGCCTCTCATGCTAGTGCTATTATCAATGGTGACTCTACCTCACCTACACTAGTAGTGATTGGTGGACGGGATAAGAGGGATCAACTAGTTAATGAATGTTTGTTATTTGATAGTATCACTACTGGTCAATACAGTTGTGGGAAGGTGTGTGTGTGTGACTGTGTGTACAGTACTGTAATGATGTGTTTTTGTATAATTAGGTCAGTTGATGGTATGACACTGATGCATGTTGATGATAGATTAGTAATTGTTAGTGTGTTCAGTAGATAACACTATCACTGATAAAACAATTACAATACAATAGAACCACCTACACATTTGATTAAAAATGACACAATACATTATTTTGTGAACCAATCTTAATGTGTGTGTGTGTGTGTGTGTGTGTGTGTGTACTATGAACACATTTCCTATTCTTATTATTGAGTTAATATGGTACATATTTTGTTATTCTTCACATGATGTGAAATAAAACATTTCTAATTTTGTTTGTTGATGGTGAGGATTAGAATTGATTTTACAATTAGAATAAATGTTACAATCATCTACATACGAAATGATACAATTTCTAATTTTTATAAGTAACTATATAAACATCATGTATCAGTAATTACTTGTATACTTCTTTTATCTACAGATTCCTCTACCTGAATCTGTTACTGGTAGATACTATCACTCACTCACAGCAGTCACAATGTCACCACACTGTGTGTGGCTAGTAATTGTTGGAGGGTTTGAAGAGATTAAATGGAAAGATGTTGGAGGAAGGAAGAAGGTGCCTCTGAATACATATATTACTAATACCAATAGATTAATAATGATAATTGAATTAGGTAAGATAATTAATTAATTGTAAAGATATTAGCATTAAATACATAATTACATTAAATAATGTGGCACTCATTTTATAGTGCGTATATTATTTGTAAATTTCAGTTTCTATTATGACTTACATTTTTCATTCATTTGTATACCATTAGTTTATAAATTAAATACGTCTGTTTATAAGTATATAATGTATCTTATTGTCTCTCAGTATATAGTGAAGCTGGTGAGTGGATAGTACAATCAGTACTGGATGGTAATGATCTCACTAGTAAGAACTATCAAGAAAAGTATCAATTGTACGGCAAGACCAGAACATGGTGGATGGAACTGCAAATAGAATATCCCACGGAGAAGGAAATGAAGCTTCAGAGATATATACAGTTTTTACATCAAGAACTACAAGTGGCTCATGAGAGCAAAGTATCACTACAGGAGGTACTGGTTGAGGCCAATAAACAAGGTATATGTAGGATACTACACACACACACACACGCACACACACACACACACACACTTTAACTGTACTAATTGATTACTATTATGTACTATTGTGTGGTTATCGGTAGTGTGAGTGTGTGTATTAGTACTGGTTTATATTGGATGAGACAATGTTGAGTATGGAAATACTAGTATCCTGTATTCAATATAAATCAAATTGTCTATGCATTACAAGTATTGAGATTCACATACAGTGACCTCTGCTTGCCATATATGGTATCATTAGCAATAATCATAGTACATGTATTTTTGGGCTACTGTACATGCAGTGCAAATTTGTATAAGCAGCAAATAATATTGAATATCATTATCTAATGGTTTGTACATTGGTTGAACCAGTTTTTGGTGTGTATATATTATCTGTATATTCTGTTGTGTTATTATGCATATACTGATTACTCTCTTCTTTTATATTATTTTTCGGTTAAAGGTGATGATAGTAATGATATTATGAGGAGCAAATTAGAAGAAATGAGACAAGAACAGGAAAAGCTTATTGAAGAGAAACAGATTATTACTGGTTAGTGTATCATCAGTACATAATATTAAATGAGAGAATATTCTATTAATGTAGAATATTATGAGAACCTGAAACTCAAAGTAGCTGATATGGAGGAGCAATATCTCAAGGAGAAACAGATCATTATTTGTTAGTTAACTATACACACAGCATGTATTAGATGAGAGAATATGTTTATTGTGTAGATGACAATCAAAATTTCAAAACTGAAATTTCTGAGAAAGACAAAGTTATAGCAAAACTGACATCACAAGTAGAGGAACAATCACAGAATGAGAAACAGACCATTACTGGTTAGTGTATCATAAATCAATAATAATTATTAATATTCTATTAATTTATAGACCTTAGAGCTAAAGTGTCTGATAATGAATTATATGCAACCAAACTAATGAAGGAGAAGTCGCAACTACAGGAGAGAGTCACATCCTTAGAGGAACAATCCATCAAAAAGACTAGTTCTATTGGACTACAATTTAATTACCTGATCCCTTCAATGGGTAAGAGTATTATTGTCTGACTGCCTAAGTGCAGGGTTTCCTGACATAGTGCTCATGCAGCTTCTTGTCAGTGGATTGTCAGTTGCTCAAAAATTTTGCTAAAGGACCCTGTAGTAGTACAGTGTATTTTGACAAAAATTGAAAGAGAATTTTTTTCACTTTTTGATGCAAATACATGTTCTTATATCATGTATCATGTTTAAGCTGATTCTGATCAAGTTTGGATTTTTTATGATTTTTAAAATTTTCTGAAAAATTGGCCAATGACCAAAGGCTGGTCCTTGGCTAAATGTCATCAAAAATTGCCAGGAGAAAGTTCTTCATTTTTATAATTTTTTCTGATACACATACATTTTTATGTTGTATATCAACTTGAAGCTGATTCCAATCAAGGTTGGATTTTTATAAATTTTAAAGTTGCTCCAAATGCCATGTACTGTATTGTAGTGCTTGTCCACTCATGAAGCTCATGCTGTTTAGCTCACTTAATATGCTTTTGTGGGAAAACGTGCCCTGACTATGAGTGTATACAATTGTATAATTGACAGATAAATTAGATTGTCTGAGTGATGTCCAGGTAGCAGAGAGGAAGTTGTTCTTAATTCAAGGAGACAAACCTCAACTGATGAATTGGGAGAAATATGGTCTAAGGATTGGAGTACAAAAGGAGAGCTTAATGTCCTCTGAAACAGTAGAAGCAGCAGTGGTTGCTCTTGTAGGAGGACAGTTCCAGTTTCCTTGTAATACTGTCCTAGTGAGTGCTGTGTATGCAGTGTCACTCTCAAAGCCTCTCCTCAAACAGCTCATATTAGAAATACAACACTGCATTGATTTAACAGGACGACCAGCTCTTAGTTGTCATCTCAAGTTTGCCATAGCTCCCGTGAGCACACCCAGTCTTCCTTACCAATTCTCAGTAGTTGAGGGAGGAGAATTTAAACCTAATAGTTGGTATGGATCCATTCAACGTAAAGAGTTCTGTTTGGTAGCTATTGTTGGGGAGAAACATCTACCCAAATCATCAGCTCATGGAGATGAGTCAGAGAAGGAGGAGGAGCTAGAGGAACAAGCAGAAGAGGAAACTGAGGAGGAAGTGGAAGATGGTAATAGTGATTCATCCAGTGATTCTGATAAGACTAAAGATCTACCAGGAGGTAGTAGTGGAGGACAAGGTGAGTAATGAGTCAGTGGTGTGTACTAGTATATAATGAACTGAATCTATTCCACTATATAGGAGAGTCTACTAGTAATGAGGGAGTAGAGGAAGAGAGGGGGACTGGAGGTCAGCCATTACATGAGGAAGGAAACAAAAAGCAAGATTATAAAAGAGTAGAAGACTCAAAGGATCATGAGGAACCACAGCATGAAGAAGCAACTGCTCCAATACCTTGTACTGAGATTAGTTCAGATTTTAATAGTAAGGACATCAACATGCATTGAATATTAATTAATGTATCTTTGTGTATAGGTAAAGTAGTAGTTTCGACTGGTATAGTAGAGAATATGGCTTATGCTGGACTGGTTTATTATGAGGAGAAAAGAGCTGAAGACTTGGTAACATTTGCTGCTGCTAAAGATCTCAATGCACTGCTTGAGGTAAATCTGTTATATTTTACATAACATTAATACTTTGTACAGTTTATTGATATGAGACACTCTCAAGCTGAAGTTGGGCAGAATATTCTATTTCGTTTCAAAAATTATGATGGATATATTGAATTAAAGTTTGATGCACCTCAAAAGAAACCATGCACTGGCTGGAGTATTGAGCCTCACATGGACTCATGCAAAGTAGGAAGGAATGAGCTCCTTATGTACTGACATTATGTATATTAATAGTTTCTACGTTGTGATGTTGATAAGTTTGGTGAAGCTAATTATCCTCTTCCTTCCACTTGTCTGATATCAGTATATGGGTCACCTGGTGCTGTACCGTCATTGCACTATTCTATACCACTGGATGGAGTGGCTGATCCTAAGACATTATTCATTCACCGATCACTGAGAACTACTCCTTTATTAACAAGAAGTATATAAATCATTTTAATTGTTTATTTATTTGATATTACTCAGATCGTACTACCTCCTCCTTCTCTAATGTAGTACATGAGTCAACGTCAGTATCATCATCCAGAGGAGCTAGTAAGTGATAATACTGATGTGTGTATATACTGACCTTTGACCTCTATTAGGTCCATCAGCTACTGTTGATGTCAATAAAGTAAAGAAAGTGATTGATGATGTTCTTGTATCTCATTATGCTGCACTCAATTCTCTTAAGACATCTCTCTCAGATCTTGCCAGTCAGTTATATGCAGCTCATCTTATTAGTGATGAAGTCAGAGAGACTCGTAGCATGGAAAAGTTCATTACAGAGTTCAAGGCTAGTCTTAGTTTCAAGAGGAAGTTACCTAAAATGGAGGAGCACTGTCAAAAGTTCTTAAGCTCATTCATTGCTGTAAGAGGTAGTTATGCTGATGCAGCAATAGCTTTAGGTGAGGACTGGATTGAAGCTATTAGGAATGAACTGGGACTTGATTTTAATATTGATATTGATGCTTGATAATAATTAATTTTGATTAATTTTATTGCTTTTACCTTTTATATTGC